TGATGCTGCTTGGCCTGCTGTGTTCATCCAGCTCTACACCTTGTTATCCTAGTAAAGAAATATGGCTAGTTTTCCAACCTACCTGTCAAATTGTGACTTGGCCTCCATTTACCCCAAAATTTGACCCATTGAGGACCAGCATGGATCCCATGGGTGGTCATTAACAGCCACCTCTCCTCTCTGCACCCTGATCCTCCTCTCCCTAAAACTCCTATCCATGAGGCCTGGAAGTAAAAGACTTTTTTTTCACTGTTGATGCCCTGAAAACCAGGCCTCCAGTAATGTTCTCCGGAACCCAGAAGGTGATAGATATTGATTGGCTGGCAATGTCTAGCAAGATTGGACCTCAATGTTGAGGTATGTGTTTCACGATGACATGATTCACTGATTTGCCAGTGGTTCCCCTGGATGTTTGCATGTGATTTCCCCTAGACATTGCAAACATTACTTTTGCCTGTGTTTTATCTCAACGTTTTCTGGTCAGTTTCTGGACCAGCTGATTGGGGTTATTTGTTGAACTCTCTCATTGATTAGGGCAGAGTGTCAGTCACCACTAAATCTGCTTGCCCCCACATTTTGGAGCTGGTGCAGTAAATATCTATCTCTATCATGTTTAAATAGAATTGCCAACTTGCAATCTGGCATGTTTGCCAATATGTATAGGTTAGTGCAATGAGTTAGTTGAGACAGTGACATAAGTCGCTAACAGATTGCACAGTGCACTGAATATATGTCTATATTGTAACAGAGGAACAGGAGGACACGCTTTGAGTCTCCTTAGTGCCTAAGAACATTAGGAACAGAAAAATAATAGAATTGTATGGCATCTCAAGTCAGCTGTGCCATTCAGTATTACCATGGCTGACCTAATCCTTCAGCTCCACCTACCTGCCCTTCCTGATATCCTTTGATTTTATGAGCTGTAAAATTATGAGATTATGAGATATACGCAAGCATCCACGACCTTTGGGTAGGCAGTTTCAAAGATTCACAACCATCTCGTGAAGAAATTTCACCACCTCTTCAGCCCTAAATGATCAAACTTCACCATGATACTGTGTATTCTCTAACAGAGGCTCAGAAAGTCTAGCAGCATCTGTGGAAAGAAATTAAAGTTAACATTTCGGGTCCAGTTACCCTTCTTCAGAACTCAAATTCTCTAGCCAGGCCCACATATTTCAGTCTATCATCAGAGGACAACCCTTCTTCTCACTCCAGGAATTGATCTAGTGAAACTTTATTATACTGCCTCCAAAGTAAGTACATCCTTCCTTAGACAAGAGACCAAATCTTTTCACACTATTTCAGTTGTGATCTTACCAAAGCCCTTTACTATTGTGGCTACATTTCTGTATCCTTGTACTGCATATTTCATTTCAATAAAGGTCAACATGCCACTTGTCTTCCCGATTGTTTGCTGTACCTGTGTACTAACTTTGTGGTCCTTGTATAAATCTTTCTGGACATCAATACTTAGAAGTTTAATGTCACTACAACAATATTCTGCTTTCCTGTTCTGTTTCCCACTTGTAGCATGGTCATATGTCCTTGCAGCCTCTTATAATCCTAAGAATTCGAATTCCCATCATATAGCTTTATCTGGCAAAAGTCCATCAGTCTCAGTTTTGAAAGGTTCAGTTGACCTCCTCAATAAATTTTTGCTTAGAGCACTTTCCAATCCTGTGCCTATCTATGGATAGGGTCAAGGTCTTTTCCCCAGGGTAGGGGAGTCCAAAACTGGAGGGTATAGGTTTAAAATGAGGGGGGAAAGATTTAAAGGGGACGTAGGGGCAACTTTTTCATGCAGAGTGTGGGGCATGTGTGGAATAAGCTGCCAGAGGACGTGGTGGAGGCTGGTATAATTACATTTAACAGGCATCTGGACGGGTATATGAAAAGGAAGGGTTTAGAGGGATATGGAATAAATGCTGGCAAATGGGACTAGATTAATTTAGGATATCAGGTCAGCAGGGACGAGTTGGATCAGAGGGCCTATTTCCATGCTGTACATCTCTAAAACTCTGTGACTCGATACCTCTTTTTGCTAAGCTGCTATGCTGCCAATCTTTCATTGTGATTTTAAGCAATGTAGGAGAGAGAGATCTGTAGTTGTATTCCATTTATGTTGAGTTAACTGATTCAGCTGAAATAGTGATCTGCAATTAGTATTGGTTTTTGCTTTGCTATGTTAGGGAGCAGAAACTCCTGACTATTATTTGGTATACTCCATTGTAAATTATGCAGGTGTATACATGTGTGATGAAGTGATCATGATAAACTGTGACTCCTTTCACAGTTGAATGGACCATCAGTCCCCACAGTCAATGTTCATACTTGAGGATGACACTAATAAACCATCTTAGAATGGAGTGGTACACCATTAATAATATGTAATAGTCACGCTGGGCTTTGATTGCACTTCTGCATCAAGAATTAAATTGTGTATTATTTAAACAAGCATTTCAGAATTAAGCTGTTAATTTTACACATGAGTAATTCTACATATTGTTTTCTTTCTGTCTCTCTCGTCATAGGATATGGATACTTTGGTAAGTAGTAACATGGTAAATGATCTGTTTGGTGCATTCATCATTTTCTGTTGTTAACAATTTAAATGATGTGGTCTGCGCTTGAGTTTGAAAGGGAGAGATGTGGATATAATCTATTAAATGATACCTTTTTAAGATTTTTAGCAAAGATTTATGGAGATGTAATAGGATACTGCAAGAATCTAACATATCTTTTACTGCTGCTATTAAAATCTTTGTTTTGACAATTGGAATGAGGGTGCTGAGAAGAATTAACGAGACCTAAAGGGGTCAGTTTTACTCAGAAAATTCTCTGGTGATACTTTTTCAGATCACTGGACAAGAACTGTTTAGTTTTTCTTGCTTTGGACTGTAGAAAAGTTAAGTTTCGCCCTTTTGTAGGCCCTCTATTTCTATCTCTCTCTCTTTCTCTCATTCAGTCATTCAGTCATGCTCCTACCCCTTTTCACACTGTCTATTTAAATATTAAGGAACGCAGCCTTCCTGTTACCACTTCTCACCAAGTCTTCTAGGAGAAATGTAAGAAGGCATTGGCCCTGTTCATATTATCTTCATTTTTAACCATCATTCAGCACAGTGCACAACGTGACAGAGATAGAACACGGGCCACGTTGACAGTTGTGAGCGTGAAACGCCATCCTATCAATGAGGTATAGATACACCAACATCTTCTACCACTGAGTTCTATTACTTTTGTAGTGTCATTTGTCCAGTTGCAGTGAGATCTTTGTTCTCTATTCCATCAGTAGATACAGGATTTTTTTTTAAATTATTGGAGCTTGGATTAACAGGAGAATAATATCACTGTTTTTCTCAGTATTCCTGTATTGTTAACTAGGTGGCATATTGGATACAGAAATGGGCATCCAGGACTCCCTTACTCTTGGCAAACTTGGAACACAAGCAGAGAGGGACCGAAGGTTAAAGAAAAAGTAAGTGTTAAGCCATTTTAAAGTGCGCAAATCCTTATCGTGTGATTGTTTTCAATGTGAATTGAATGTAAATAATTTTTTATTCCAACAGAAGTCTAATGAACCTACTCTTGAACAGATTCTTCCTCCTTTTGATCCACCCTATCAGAAGTGTTTTTAATTCTGCCAGTGTCGCCTGGTATGTGGTTTATTAAGTGGCCACTGAGGCAGCTTTGTGAAATAAAAATTGAATAGCTTGTGGGAGATGCTGATGTTCATGATAGGTGAATAGAATTATATCATCCCTACAATGTAGAATCAAGCCATTCGGCCCATTGAATCCACGCTGACACACCAAAGAGGTCCCACCCAGACCCACCCTATCCCTGTAACACTGCATTTCCCATGGCTAATCCACCTAGTCTGCACATCCCTGAGCACTTTGGGCAATATACCATGATCAATCCACCTAGCCTGCTCAGCTTTGGACTGTGGGAGGAAACCGGAGCACCCGGAAGAAACCCACGCAGACACAGGGAGAATCTCCACACAGACAGTCCCTGAGGGTGAAATTAAACCCAGGTCCCTGGCGCTGTTAGGCAGCAGTCCTAACCACTGAACCACAGTTCTACCCCAAATGTGTTCCATTCCAACCATAAGCATTAGCTCTTTTGCAGTCACCATTTTTCTAGATTTTGCATTGGTATTGTTTGTTAATACCAGCTAGCAGAATACATGCTGATATAATCATTTTCTTTATTCCTTCATTCCTTCATTCATTCATTCATCCAATTCATCCACTGGTGAATAGCTCTGCATAAACAATGTTCAGAATGCATTTGCATTGATGCATTTTTCATCCTCCTTCATGACCTCTAATTGTAGCAGTTTTATTAAAAAGTATTAATAACATGCTGATTGGCAGTTTCTCTGATCAAGTTCAGTGCATCTTGAAAATTAAACCTCTGTCTTGTCATACAACACAGAAACAGATCATTTGGTCCAACGCGTCCATGCCAACCAGATTTCCCAAACTAAACTAGTCTCATTTGCCTGATTTTGGCCTATATTACTCTAAAACTTTCCTATTCATGTACCTGTCCAGATGTCTTTTAAATGGTGTAACTGTACCTACATCTACCACCTCTGGCAGTTTTTTCCGCATACGAACCACTCTCTGCTGCCCCTGAGATCCCTGTGAAATCTTTCTTCTCTCGCTGTAAAATTATGACCTCTAGTTTTGAACTCCCCTAGTCTAGGGAAAAGACCTTTGCTATTCACCTTATATCTAAGCCCCACATGATTTTATATGAGGTTTATGCTGTGAAGTGACCCGTCAACCTCCTACACTCGAATGAAAAAACCTCTTAGCTTATCCAACCTCTCCTTATAACTCAAGCCCTCCATTCCCAGTAACATCCTTGGGTGAATCTTTCAAAGTCAGTGGAAGTTCTGCCCTCTTTAATTCTTTAGCCATTGACTAAATACAAAAAAAAGTTTTCATCGTTCTCTAAGTTGTGACTGTCCTTGCATCAGGCATTATTCTCTGCCAATAAACATGCATCTGAGCAAGCTTGTTTCAAGTGTTGTGACACCTGCTGGCCATATTTTGAAGTTTTTAACCTCTACTCAATATCTTTCCCAAGAACATAATAAAAATTATGATTTTTCTGTTCTTTGGACTACATTGTTATTTTTGTTCTACTGTCCTAAATGCTAATAATCCCCCAATGATGTGGATTTTATTCAGTCTCTGGGAATGAGGCTTGTATGGAACCTAAAAAGTACCTTAATGTGTACCAGGAGTAAGACATATTAAAGTTAAATTAAAGCTCTTTTTGCCCCGCAAATTGGCCATTCAGTGTGTTTTAATCAACACTATTGTTGTATTAGTGTTTTGATTGTGGTTTGTTACAGAATTACCACCCGTCCTCAAAGCCTTTTAACAATTGCTTGAGTTTTGATTCGAGGACATCAGTGTTCAGATTACGGTGTTGATATTTTGCACTATCCTAATCTAAAAAAAATACTTTCTTTTGAAAACAACGTGCCTTTTCAAGCAAGAGAAGATAATTGAATTGTTTGGCCTAAGTGATAGTGCAAGACTGACAGAATCACACTCCTGAAATCTCCTCAAATGTTAAATCCTGCACCTGCAGTGCTAAGTCAGCAGGGTGCCAAAACCTGACTCCACATTGCTTGGATTCTATTTACATACAAGATACAACTTGAGAGAAGCACTGCCTCTGATACTTGGTGACGCCGGTGAATTGTTAATTTCTTATGGTACACACCAGTGATGGATTCAAATAAAATTCTGGACTTTTACTTCAGTTTTTGAGAACGTAGTTTTATCTCCACTCTCCATTCCATTGAAACGTTTTAGCTTGCTGTTCCTAATTCTTAAATTTCTGTCATAACTATGATTCTTCTTTGCAATAATCAAAACAAAAGATGGTTACAATTTTTTATTTGTTTATAGTGCTGATGTGTATTTGAGGAAAACACCAAACTAACTCAACATATGGTCTCGTTCATTTACAAAATTCCTTGTAGATTCAATAAATGAGAGCACTTCATTTTTTTAGCTTCACATATCCTTAGAGTTAATGATTAAATCATGAACTCAGTAAGGAATATTGAAACTAAGTTGGAACTTGTCAACATTGTTCTGGAAAAATGACCAGTTATTTATCAACTGGAGCGCCATGCTTATTTTGCCTTTTATGTCTGTGGCAGACCAAACAGTTGCTGTGCTCTGTGTTCATGGTAATGCTTTGCAACAGGGCTCAATGGAGTGATATGTTTACTGACTCAAAACATAAGATGGAATGAAGGGTAAAGAGACAATCTGTGTTGAACAAAATTGAGTTTCCTGATTTCTAGAAGGATAGCACAAAAAACTAAACTGATTATTTTGGCCTTGGCAGTAGTTATCATTCATAGTTCAAATTTTGGTTCAACTGTGAAGCACCAACACTCTGCATTCAACACACCGTCCACAAAATATCAACTAGCTTTTGAGTTCAGACTTGTATGAATGAACATCTTTTATTGTGTGGTGCCTTTGAGATGATCTGTGGTGTCTGTGAGCAACCCAAGTAAGCACAGCTTTTCAACCAATCACATTGAAGGACCCTCACTGAGGAAGTATAGAGCAGAAGGTATGAGCCAGATTTAAAAGACTTCAAAAGGGTGAAATAAAGATTAGGGAATATAGACTGGAACAAGGGAGAGAGGTATGGGACACAGAATATTATTTTTATATGTATCTGCAGCGTTAGTCTTCTTCAGAGAAGAAGAGAATCAACACTTATACAGATATATTTTCGGGGCCAGAGAGGTGGTGCACCAATCATCACTTTACATGCCATCATTAACTCCTGAATACATCGGTAATTTTTCTGAGCCATTTTTAGCATTAAATTTATGGGTATTTCAGACCATGGCAATCTTTTCAAATCTGAAATATCAATGAGGACAATGCCAGTGTGCCCAGTGGAGAATCAGACAGCAAATCCTGCCTTTAATCATACGTATGTGAATGCCAGAAGTTGTTTTCCTATAATAATGGAGAACATTACAGCTTCACCATTGCTATTACAGTAAAATTTAGATTGTTATAGTATGTTGACTTTTATTACAAGAGGATTTGTGTATCGTAGTAAAAATGTCATCCGAGAATTATATGCAGCCTTGGTGAGACCACACCAAGCCTATTACATGCAGCTTTGGCCATCTTATCTACAGTAATATATACTTGCCAGAGAGAACTAGGGAAATAATCTCAGAATAAGAGAAAGCCATTTAAGACTGAGACATGGAGGAATTTCTTCACTTAGTGGCCAGCGAATTGGAATTCTCTGTTCCTGAGGGCTGTAGTGGTTCATTTGTTGATTATGCTCAAGACCAAGATCAAATGATTTCTACACGTTGTAAACATCAAGGGCTATGGGGACTATACCAGGAAATGATGTTGAGGTAGAAGATTAGTCATGACCATGATTTCAAGGCAGACATGAGGAGCTGGATAGTCTACTCCTGCTCCTGTTTCTTGTGTTCGTATGTTATCTTGCCCTCCCTCAGAGAGTTCTAACCTATATTGAATCCAGCATGTGATAGTCAGCAAGTAATTAAACAAGGGACATGATGAACTAATCTAAAATATAATTGATTTCTAGGCATGAACTGCTGGAGGATGCTCGGAGAAAGGGCATGCCATTTGCACAATGGGATGGACCAACAGTAGTATCATGGTTAGAGGTAAATGCCTACAGAGTTGCATCCATGGAATTATGACAATCTGATCATAATGATTGAGAACACAGACATATTGCTGTACTATATTTATTGCCCAATTCTTAACCCAAGTTTTCCTCAACTGAAATTCAGTTATTCTGGTGCAATTTTCTGAATTACAAATGCACTGTTATTTCTTGGACTACACTTTCCAGGTAAGACTGTGACCAAAAACCTAGAAATTACGTTTAATCAAAGATGCCAAGAGAAAGAAAAAAAAACAATCTAATATTGTCTAAACCTCTGTGGGAATATTAAACAACCCTAAAAAGGGAGATGAAGTTAAAACCTTTCATTATGTACCCATCCAGATATGGTCTGAAAGGGTTAATGTTTGAGACTGCATTAAGCTCCACCTTATTTTTCATGTCTTAGACTTCAATCGGTTAAATTGAAGTCCAGCACAAGGAGGCAAGTGTGTCATCATTGTCTTCTGATAGTCTTAGTTATTATGTCAAACTAGCCAATGTTACTTTTACCTGTTGCTATTATGCCATAAACCTATTAAGACAAAATACTCTTGTCATTAAGATTTATTAGTCTTTATCTTCTCCTATTTTTAACTGATTAAGCCCTTACCCTAACAGAAAGGAAGATTCCCCACCGCAAGTTGTCAATACCCGATTAATGCTCTGTTTCAAAAGAGAATAAAGAAGAATTGATTTATAAGATGTGGAAGACCAGAAAGGAGGATTGTGTGCACTGCCAGCCCTAATTACTATCAGGATTCTGTGATTTTATTCTATGATTCTAATTATGATATTTTGATTTAATTTTGATAAATTTCTGTTAACTTTTCTCTTTCATGTTACAGTGCCCACTCAGGGCCGTTTAATTTTGTTAGTATTCATTGATTTAAAAGAGTAGAAAGGAGAATTGGTGGGAACAACCCAATCATTGGTTGGTCATGGCTAGATCCACCAAACATGCAACAGGATGCAAGAAGTCATTTCAGAAAGGGAGTAACAATTAATGCAGCGTGGGAAGAAGCTGCTGATGGGTTGCCATGGAGATATAGCTTGAACTGTTGACTGTCAACTTTAGCTGACTGAACACAGACCAGGCAGGTGGCCTGAGACTGATCAAGGTATTTCCATCAGGAATGCAACAGAACAAGTTAATTATACAGAGATAATAGGAACTGCTGATGCTGGAGAATCTGAGATAACAAGGTGTAGAGCTTGATGAACTCAGCAGGCCAAGCAGCATCAGAGGAGCAGGAATGCTGATGTTTCGGGTCTGGACCTGAGATAACCTTGTTATCTCAGGTTAATTATACAACTCTTTCCTCAAAGAAAGGATGCGATGCATGGACAAAATCATTTTACCCACAAGGAATCGGATTTGAGTGTGATGTATGTGTATGTAACATTGATCACATGCAAAGTAATCACATCGATAACCCAACTGAACATCTTAAATTGGTTTCCAGTGTAATTCTTAGCATACTTGGTGTTATTTAGTAAGTGCTGACCAATTAACAGAATCACATCTATGATTGCAAGCGCGGGCTGGTTGAGCGTCATTGGCATTATTCACATTATACCTTTTCTAGTGAACTTTTCATGTTATGCCTTTTCTATAGAAGATAGAGTTGTGGCAATACCCTGACCAATCACAATCCACCTGTCTGGTCTGAATTTACTCAACTAAGATTGATAGTTAATAGTCTTCCTGCATCTCCATTCCAAACATATCCAAACAATCGTATTCTATTCCCATACAATATAAACTGTTGTTCTCTTTCTAAGTTTGGTTTCTTTAGTTGCAATCCTGTTGTTAACAAAATGAAAGTTTTGACAATATGTCTCTTTTTAGCAATGTTTAAATTTTGTACGATCATACAATAATTTGCAGGTTATTAATATTTCTCTTCCCAATTAAGTAATTATAGATGGATCCTTTAGAAATAGCTACTCTTCCCACCTTCATTCATTTCTCCAAACATCTATCCTTGATGTCTCATCTTCCTCCTGGTGCTTCATCACTTGCAAATATTGGGTCAGCTTCTGCATATACATGAGTGTGGGACCCAGTTCTGTTTTCTGCATCTGTACTATTAGAATGATTTTTCAATTGCATAAATCTTAAATTCCATCCACCCACCCCTGCACCCCAGCTAAATATTGGGAAAACCAAAGCGACCACTTTTGGTCCCCTTCACGGGCTCTAATCTTTGCCAATCCAATCCCATCCCCAGTGATTATCACAAACTCCACAACCCGCTTGATCCCAAACACATTTTCTGACTCTATATCCTTCCAAACAGGAAGACCACCACTTTAACATCATCTGTGTCCATTCCATCCCAGCCTATTCAGCAGGAAAACCATCTCCAGGATTTCATCACTTACAGTCTCAATTCTGTGGTTCTTCCATCTTACACTCCCTTTACATTTATAGGTCATAATAAACTCTGCTGCTGGCACACAATCCAGCACAAAGCCTTGCACATTTATTGCCTTCATTCTCTTTGACTTCCAATGCCTAAAATAAAAAAAAATACTATCCAAATTGGAAAAAAAAAATCCTCTCTTCTCACTAAATCTTCAAACTGCAGCACCCCACCCCCCCAGACTCTCCACCTTTCTGATTCCTACTTTATTGTATCCTCACTTTGGCTGTGCCTTTTTCATTCCTTTCCATAACTCTGGAAATCATCACGTCTATGGGCTGCATTTTCCAAGAATTGTCAATTAGGCGCTGATTATGACCCACTCCTTTTTTACAAAATGAAAGAACTCCACATTTCTGATAGGAGATTTCAAATTAGGCTTCACTTATAAAAGCAGAGCTGCTGTTTCATTCTGACAGCTCCCACTTAGTGCATGGGGAAGGTAAACTGTTTTCCCAGCAGCCAGTTGCTGTAGTCTGTGATTTCAAAGTCTGATATCATAGACAGCCATTTTGACAGTTCCTGTGAAAGGGTAAGGAAATAAGGTAAGTGTAAAGTTAGGGTGCCAGGCAGCTTAAGTGTCAGGTGAGGTGGGAGAGTGCTTAGAGGGTCATATGCCAGGGTACAAACAAAATGTGTCAAGGAAGCCAAGTAAGTAATGGAGTGTTTAGTGCAGGTTAGGGTCTGATAGAGGGTTTTGGGAGTCACGTCAGATCAGGACGTGAAATGTTCAAGAAGACTGGGGAGGTGAAGTTGGGGTGTGTGAAGTAAGTTTTAGGTCAGTTGAATAGTTACTCAAGAATTAGACTAAATATTTAACAGTCTTAGCTTTCCAAATAACTATTTACTTAACTGCAGCAGAACTCTCCAAAAGTATCTATGTAAACTGGAGAATTTGAATGCATACTTTTGGAGGCATACAGAAATTGTCAACTGCAATCTTCAGTGCCAGTTCCTTTGAAGCCTGCTATACTAGGGATTCTACAAGGTCTTCATGCACAACTCCCATCCACGCTTCAGAAACCATCAGAAAATCCAGGCCTCCCAATTCTTGTGTCCCTTTAAAAACCTCCTTACAATTCACTCCCTCCCCATCTAATCTAATGTAAAATTACCACTGAAATATGGGTCTGTCGCAAAGATGCTTTGTAAATGTAAATGTTCAGAAATATTTTCTGAAGAAGGGTCCAGACTCGAAATGTCAGCTTTCTTGCTCCTCTGATGCTGCTTGGCCTGCTGTGTTCATCCAGCTCTACACCTTGTTATTTCAGATTCTTCAGCATTGGCAGTTCCCACTATCTCTTGTAAACGTACTCTTGTGTTGTTTTGAATTTTCTTTTGTTTGTCCACTGCAACAAATGCTTCATTTTATTAACTTGGCATTCTCAGGGCTCAAACAGCCTATTTTAGATGTAAGAATGATCAAGTTTCCAGTATTTGCTTAATCTTTTAATTTGCAAAGATAGGATAGACAGGGAAACAATTTTTGATAGACATGCAAGTCATGTATTCGTATGATTTGTTATTGCTTAGGTTGGAGTGTTAATAAAAAAAACAAACACAATCTTTGGAAAACAATTTTATGAGTCAGATAAGTCAGTTTACTCTGAAGTAGGCCTAAACTGGTAAGCTTCCAATATGAGAAGCTAGCTAGCTTGCTTGCCTTTTGTGCCATTTGTAAGCTAGATGAACCCAAAATGCAACAAAAGTGTGTGTTAGACTGAAGCCTGATAATCAACAGAACAGAATTGCTGGGGAACACATCTTGAAGGATGTGTTGCCCTCTCTGCCCAAGTTCAGGCTATGTAGGTTTAAAATAATCATTATCTCTGAAGTCTTGTCTATTCTCTTGCTGAAATAGTAATAGTAATTTAAATTTTCCTTGCAGTTGGACTGCAACAAAATATGTCACATTTTGTTTAAGAAGTAGAGGTTTCCACTGTATAAAACCATAAAATAATGTCAATGTTTGCTGTGACATTAAACAGCTGTGGGTGGGGATGCCAGCCTGGTACGTAGCTGCCTGTCGAGCCAACGTGAAGAGTGGAGCTATCATGTCTGCCTTGTCTGACACAGAGATACAGAGGGAGATTGGAATCAGCAATCCACTTCATCGATTGAAACTCCGACTGGCAATACAGGAGATGGTGTCATTAACAAGTCCATCAGCACCACCCACATCAAGAACGGTAGGTTCTTGGCATCCTTTGTGTTTTAAAAATATTTGGAAAGGTTATAAATATTGTGAATCAGGTCAAGTAATCCTATCTGAATAGACAGTAGGAAATATGAATTCTTATCAGAAATATTCTATGTTGGCATTGGGAGGCAGAGCAACACTTGGGTGTTGTAATCACTTTAAGTTTCCCAACATTGGTGTGTGCAGTAGTTGGCAGATAATTTTGTACCAACGTGCATTGCAAAGCTGACTCCACAGCTTTCTGATCCCTATCATTAAAATTCTACTTTAGTAGTCCTTTTCGGAATTACTCCCAGATAATTGGCCATTGACATGATGAGATTGGAGTGCTCTGTGAATGTGGAGATAGTTATGGTGACCTGCCCTGTTTTCACAATATATACACAGCAGTGATGAATAGCAATGCTTGCACTGAAAAAGTGATGTTATGATAATGTGAAGTTAAATGTAAACAGCACACTATCATATCTCACACTCTTGGTGTTACATCATCATCATTTCAACATCATGTCATATTTGTAAATAAGTGGAATTTCTCATACCTACCAAATAATTCAATGGCGAACTTTATAATCAGTTACAATTGTTACTGAGATTGCAAGTGAATCTCAAGCATTGTGAAATTAATATATTAATAATTTTAGGCAGTTTTAATTGACACACACAATTGGCTTACCAAGGCAGGTAGCCTGAGTAGACAACTTACTTGACTTGGCTGGCTAACTTTATTTAAAGGGCCCCAGATGTCTAAATTTTCACTTCAGTAAGGCAAGAACAGGATAGACTCTGGGCTGCCAAACCTAGAAGCAGATTGTGAGAAACAGACTGGTTAGACAGTCCTTTGGTATTCTGGCATTTCACCCCACTTCGTCTTAGCTTCTGTAGCCCTCACCCTCACCCATGCTCACAATCTTCAATGCTAACTCAATCCTCATGGCCCTCACTACTCCACACCACCTTCATAGTCAGTCATCCAGTATCTCCCGTTGAGGGACTTCCATGTAATATGAATATGAAAAAATCTAACAATCTAATGTAGATCTCACTCATGCGCTCATGTTCCTGCCCACCATTTTTAAAGATCTGTGGAGTCACTTTGACTCTGCAAATCCAACCCTATGTGTCTCGATTGATCACCAAGCACTCTAACTCAGAAGCATGTCTGTAATTATAAGATAATTATTAATTGCATATATGGTTGTGGTGAATGACTTTCTTGAACGTGTATATTTGAAATATTTTAGTGAAGTATATGTTCAAATATTTTATACCCTTGTATTTATTAATACCATTTAGAACTGTGTCAAAGTAAGCATGTATTCATATTTGAATTTAAGAGTACTTGAAATTTTTTAATCTACTGGATCCAATGATTAGCTAATACTGTGTCAAAATCAAAACCAATTGTGCACATCCAGCTGCATTGCACAGTCGGAGAATGCAAACAGGGGGCAGTTTTAAACTTCTCTGCAACTTCAGTGCATTCAGTTGCATGGATTTGTTTGCCAGTGCAAGTTTTGAAGGACACGGTGATGAAAGGTTCATCCCCTAGGCCTGTCAGTGCTGAAAAAAAGTTCACAAGCAAGAATGCCATGTGACATGGGATTGCACTAACAAAAGGGCAACATCTGGCTGAAAGTTTGGATGTGCCAAATAATTGAACGCCCTCTCTCTCAGTGTCGGTCAGAGGAGATGAATTTCTGAACTATTTATCTGCCACAATTGAACAACACTGGGAAGGCCAATTGTTATTTCTTTTGCTGATTTGCTCAAATGATTTTAAAGCTTAATGTACTGAGTGAAAATGCAGCCATATTTAAAGGAGGGATGTATGCTTCGTGTGGATGGTTTTAAAGAAAAACGTATTTCCAACAAGTTTCCAAAAATGTTAGTGGAAGCTGAGTGTGGAATGAGAGAATGGTTGCTCAGACTTGATCTAGAACCAGCGTGGTGACATAAATAACAGTGAAAAAGACGCCTTTCAAAGGAACACTCCTCAATTGGTATTACAAAACTTGTGTAGGACTTCAGTGCTTAACAGAGAACAATGGTGCTGTTTAAAATTGATCTCGTGGTTTAAAAGTGCCCACTGACCTGAAACTGACTACTGATTTTAAATCTTAACCCAATATTCAATTTTCTTCTTTCTTTCAATGCAGAAAAATCAATCCCTTTTCTTTTAATTACTCCAATAATGTCTTGTTCACTAACAAAGTTAAATGAGTTTTTCACACTTGGGTCAGCCTGATTATTCATAAAAACTACAGTAATCTTTATCCCTTATGAGCTACTTTTGGAAGTTCTTTGAGCTACTTTTAGAAGTTCTTAGCCAGATGGTTGGGGTAGAATTCTCTCTTGAAATGCAGCAGTCCTTAGGGGGAAGGAGGAGAGAGCCACTCCTGGCTTGTGAATTTGCAACTTCTGCTAATGGATCAGGAAGAGTATTCCTCGAGTCCTGCCTTCTCCATTGCAGCACAAAAGCACTTTATAGGTGTGGGGTCATCTATTTTGAAGGGAATAATTGTTAGTGAGCCTTTGAAACTCTTTACCTGTACAGTTTTATGGCATTCATTCTGGCAGTGACGATGCATGGAAAGTGTGTTTTTTAATGAACTGTCTCTTGCTTCACTTCTTCCCTTTGTGTAATACTTTTCTTCACAAACACTACATACTGGACTGTCCTTGTGCTTTCCACATAGTCCTCTGGAAATGTTTGGGTGACTCATGAGGAAATGGAAAACATGGCGGCTTCAGCAAAAACGGTTAGTCTGTCCCTGTCCACCTTTGTTGTGCTTCGTTGAAGAGTTTCTTATGAATATTATATTTATTTAATATTTTCAAACCCTCCTCTTTTTATCTATTTGTAAATATTAAGTTAAAATTTGTTAACTGCAATGAGCAAGTATTCTGCTGCGATGCATTTTTAATTGCTTCAAGGTGAGATGAACACCTGCTCATTTCAATGAACCTGTAACTAATTTTGCAATTTTGAGACATGTATTCTGGAAATTGGAACTCCTAAAGTCAGAATGAATTTCAGGAACAGAGGATTTTTAGGGGTGTGAAAAGATGATAGATCATTGACATTCAATTGACTTTAAAGCAAATAAAAACCTGGCTGATCAGTCTGATAATGATAGGGCACTACTTCTAACTTTGTGATTCTTTGTATTGGTGAGTGAAGGCTAGATGCTTACCTGACAGGAATAGAGGGACAAATAAAAGAACGTAAATAGTTGTTGATTCAAGACTAATGATGGGTGAAACAGATGAAAGATTACCAAGTATCATCACAGAATGATGTTGAGATAATCTGAAAAACACAGGAAAGATAATGATTTTTTTGTGCAAACTCCTGTGAAATTCACCACATCAGTGGAAAAGTAACTGGGCATGAAGAGTTCAACATTAAAGTTTTCAATCAGCTTACTAGTTTGTGTTAAGTTGCAGAGGAGGCAGAGCAACCTGGTGTTCCAACTCGTTGTGCAGCCATTCCATTTCACCATGGTTTGGACATTTCATCCCAAGCTGTCATTGATTTTCCAGAATTTAGGATCAATCCTTGATTAATGAACTAAAAATTTCATCCGTCAACAGATATAGGATAGTAAGACCTGCCGATGCTGGAGTCTGAGATAACACAGTGTGGAGCTGGAGGATCACAGCAGGTCAGGCAGCATCAGAGGAGCAGGAAAGCTGATGTTTCGCGTCGGGACACTTCTTCAGAAAATTTTCTGAAGGGTCTGAAAAATTTTCTGAAGAAGGGGGCTGACCTGAAACTTCAGCTTTCCTGCTCCTCTGATGCTGCCTGACCTGCTGTGTTCCTCCAGCTCTACAGCAGATGTAGGTATGGTTTTAGCATTCTCGATTGGAGTTGCCCATCAACTCCCAGACAGTTGATTGTTGGTTAAGCGGGAGAGGTACGAAATGTCTGCTTGTTGGGAATTGATGTTAGAGAGTTTGGAGTTCACAACGTTGCTGAACTAAGGTGGAAAAATGGTGACAATGCATCGAACCCATGCTTTTCTAGTTTGAGAATTGTTTGAATTCAACATTGACAGAGTAATAGGAAGTGTTTGAAATTACTTTTAATCACTGGGTGTGGCCGTGACTCACCTTAGCAGCAGGTGGGTCTTAAACCTGAATCTTTTGATGCAGTGGTAAGGTCACTATCACTGAGCCACAAGACACCTTACAGGAAGTGTTTTATTCTGTCAATTAAAACATGTAAATGAGTTAGAAGGAATTTAATTATGGAATTAGAGATTTATTCTGGTTTTCAAATAAAGAGATTATTGTTTTAAACAGGATGTAAGTATACCATTTCACCATGGTAGATTTCTGCACATCTGTTGTGCAGCACTTTGTACTTGTTTTTGCCATTTGTTTTATTGTGATGGCAAGCAGTTTTAGCTCTTGTAATATATAATTCATGGTACTTGTTTGCAGGTTCAGTAATTTCCAGTGAACTAATTTTCTGGAACAGGAATTAAAGGGAACATTTTCCTGTGGGTGATACTGAAATAAACTGGTTGATACTTCACCTAACATAATGCTGACAGGAAATTGATACAATGCCCACCACAGAATGTACTGTCAAGACTCTAACACATAATTTCAATATATTCAGGCTGTATAAGCAAAATCTATTTTGAGGAGGTTCTAGCAGAATCAAGCTTCTGACAACATAGTCCAAGTGAGGGTCTCTTTGTAATAGACTTAATGAGGCTTGACAAGGGGTACTTATCACACAGCTAGAATAAGCCTGGTTTTGGGAGTGAAGTTTGACAAGGGCTGTCTGCACTGAAGGGAACCTGTCCTGTAATTCCTCCTAAAGCTATGTCTTAATAAGCAGTGTTGTCAGAGAGTACATTGTCATATCTTTCATACAGGCAATTCAGTTTAACTCTTTAATACTATTTCTTGCCTCGAGCTGAATTTAGTGTGTTAACACAGATGATAAATGTGGCAAAACCACATACGTTCTCAAGATCATTCATGTCAGTTCCATAGAAAATTACAATATGGAAGGAAGCCACTTTAAATTGTTATCAAATTTCCTTGTTTAAATTTATTGTTGAATCTCCCTCCACCACCCTAATTTCCACGTCATCATAACTCACTGTGCAATTTCTTAAGTTGTCTCTAGTTATTTAGGCAAATACCTTGTATCTGTATCCTTTGGTTACTTGCTCTACACCCACAGGAAATTTCTTTTTTTCACACCTAGCCTGTAGGATCACATCATAATATTGTACACCTCGACCAAATCTTCCCTCACCTTCTTTGATCTGAGGAGGGTGTCTTTGCATCATCAAATTGACTCATCCGTGATACCATTCTGGTAAACCTGCTTTGCACACCCTCTAAAGGCCAAGGTATCATTCTTAAAGTGCATTGCACAAATTGGCCACATACTTCAGCTGATGCCTCGCCACTGTTTTAGCTTAATTTCCTTGATTTTGTGCTTAATGGCCAGGATTATCAGAAAGCCATTTAAAATTGCTAGGCAGGACATAATTCTAGGATTCCCAACCCCAATCCCAGTGCTCCCAATTTTAGTTGATGTTGGATGATATTGGATGATATCAAGCCTGCACTCCCAACCCGGCTGCTCCATTCTGGGGCTATCATCCTCAATTTTTGAGAATCTGGGACAACTTCTGGAATACAGGTGGCGCCCGTCCCCTCAGAGGAGTCTAGATTCAGGAAATTTTGAAAAGCAAGTTTCAAAGATCTCAAACATGCTTACTGATCATTCCCTTCTGTCTTTAAAATAACTCTTGTCATTGTTCACTAATTTCTGTCCCCTAGACAAAATTACAGTTATTTTAATCGTGTTTGGAAATTTATTTTAATCGTGTTTGGAAATGTTTTGACACACCTCTAGGACAATGGGATTTGAACCCAGACCTTCTGGCCCAGAAGCAGGGATACTACCACTGTGACAGAAAAACTCCAGAAGAAGAAATCGCATCCCTATATTAGAGATAGTAGGAACTGCAGATGCTGGAGAATCTGAGATAACAAGGTGTAGAGCTGGATGAACAGCTTCAGAAAGGGTCCAGGCCCAAAACGTCAGCCTTCCTGCTCCTCTGATGCTGCTTGGCCTGCTGTGTTCATCCAGCTCTACACCTTGTTATCTCACATCCCTATATTAATTTCTTTTTAACCCCTCAGACTCCAATTTTATTAAGCAGTCTATTACTCAGTGTTTTATCAAACAATTTTGAAAATCAATTTACACAAGATTACCTGCATTCCCCTCATTAACCCCCAAGGAGTGCCCTTCCCTACTCCCATGGTTTATGAGATAACCAATGTCTTTGTCCCATTAACTAATTGAGGGTGAAACCCTTTTCTATAGATTGGTTTGACTGCAAATCACTGACTGATGTTTAGCCAAGCATGCTTACCTTGGTGAGGTTCAGTCTCCTTGTTTGATGTTATTTTTGATTGTAAGAGACTTTAAGATAATGGCAGATTAACAATTTTTATCCTACAGTTTACCTTGCTGATGCTAACCATGTTCAAACCTGAATTTCCATACAGAATTTGTTTTGCCTGAATTATTCAGGGATACAATGTAGACCTAACTTGTGTTATATTTTGCCAAATATATTAATGAGGTGAAGTAATGTTCTAGCCCAGCAATTTAGGCATATTGAATGAACTAATCAGAGTGTTCTTTCATTTCTTCTTTTCTATTAATGCTTGTACTAACTTGCTAACCTGTTAGGAGAATGAGGAAGGCAGTTGGGCTCAGGTGAGTATACAAGACATTCAAATATGTTTGAAATGACTTAGAATGATTACTGTGTGTGTTTTATAAATCCTTCTACGATGACTATCATTGATGGCACCCATCTAGTCTCCACACTATGGAACTTAGTCTTCAAATCTCTTCATCATTCTGACGTTTCTCCCTAACTGCAAGATCCCACTTAATATCTAGTTTGATGAAAATAATTGTACAATTGCACCATGTAAAATTCACTCTGAAAAGAGTACTTGATACCTTCAAAGAGTTCCCCAGGTAAGTCTCGACGTTTTGAGGAGCATACTCTGCCTGTTGTCTAGCAGAATGACTGGAATAAATGAAAGAGTCATTCTATATATTACAGGATGGGAATATGGATAATATCTTCCTGATGACTGGTCAGTCATTTATGTTGGTACACACTAATATTCTTGTTGCTGATTGGTCGGCTGTGCAGAATGGGATGGTAAGGGATTTCTTGACTAAAGATAACCTGATGTCACTGATGAGAAGACTACTGTCTTGGGGATTGCTATGGTGGTAGTGGATCTCGAGGGTGTGCCTGACACACGTTGCATGTCAGTGCATGATGAATAAGGTAAGTCTAGGTTAGGAGCATTGGGTGGGATGGTTATTAAGTTGAACATTTTTGATGATAGGTGACTTGTTCCATTCACTGCATTTGAAACAGATTTGTGGTTCCTTGAGTCTAGTGTATAGGCTGCCACTTATTCTCCTCCCCTTGGCTTCTTCCCCTCCCCCCGCCAGTCCACCCAACTTTACAATCCCATGGTGTGCTGTAAATTGCCACTTTATTGTTAGGTGCTTTCTTATCTTTGTAGATTTGGAGGCTAAAGTGGAGCTTCTTCAATGATTTGTATCAGACCTTTATGCCAACTGACTTAAGTACACATTATAGTCAATGTCACTGGAACTAGTAATATGAGAAAATTTTGTATCTTGCATTCATGAAGAAGCTGCAATTGAGCATGTAACAAATGAGCATGTGAAACGAAACAATTGAGTTTGAAGTGCAGGCTTAATATGGCAAAGTTCTCATTGTGGATGCTTGATGTTGCTGCTAGAATAGGCTTTTCCGATAAGAGTATTAGAAATTGATTAGTAGGTGGAAGGATGGTGGAAAGATTGGTAGTTCAGGCATTTAAGCAGGAAGAATGCTAACTGCTCTTAGTAGAGCAGAGTTTACATGGTATAACCATAAAATCATCTCATTCAATGCAGCCACACTCAGAAGAGCAGAGTTATTACAGTGAGTAAGGAAGTCATTCAGCCTATCATGTCTATGCCACCTCTCCACATAAACATCTTCCTTATCTCACAATTTCCCCGTCTACTTCCTTTAACCTTGCACATTGCTTCTTTTTCAAATAGTCATCTAATTCCCCTGAAAATACCTGGATTGAACCTACCATGATCACACTCTCAAGCAGGGCATTCTATATCCTAACCACTCACTGCATAAAAAACATTTTTCCTTGTATCTGCCTTGCTTTTACTAATTACTTCAATGATAGCCATGATGTGGAGATGCCAGTGTTGGACTGGGCAACTTCACCTGACGACAGATCAGTGCTCCGAAAGCTTGTGATTTTAAATAAACTTGTTGCACTATAACCTGATGTTGTGTGACTTCTGACTTAACTACTTCAAATCTTGCCTTTTTGTTCCTGATACTTTCACAAGTGGGACTGTTTTCTCTCTATTTACACTGTCCAGACCTCTCACTATTTTGAATATCTGAGTGAAATTTCCTCGCAGCCTTTTCTTTTGAACCCTAGGAGAACTGTTAATTTCCTAACTTTTCCAATCCATCTTCAAACCTGAAATTCCTCAATTATGGAGCCAATCTTGTAAACCTCTTCCACACTCTACCCAATGTCTTCACATCCCCCCTCAAGCGCAGCATACAGACCTAGATGCACTGTTCCAACTGAGGTCTGACAAATGTCTTATACCAGCATAATTTCCTTAATCTTATATTCTATTCCCCCATTAATAAATCCTGGGTTATTGTATATTTCATTAACTGCTGTCTTCAACTGTCCTACCACCTTTAATGACTTATGGGTATATTCACTGAGGTTCCTCTGCACTTTCACCCCCCTCAGAGCTGTACCCTTTAATTTATATTGTCTCCCTGTGTTCTTCCCACAAAAATACATCATGCTACGCTCCTCCACATTGCACTACACCTGCCACCCAACTGCACACACCACCACCTTGTCTATGTCCTAAATTAAAATAGAATACTGTGGATGCTGGAAATTTGAAACAAAACCAGAAAACACTGGAGAGATTAGCAGTTTTGGCAGCATCTGCGAAGAGAGAAACAGAGTTAACGTTTCAACTTCAAATTGACGACTCTTCAGTGAAGAAGAAGATTCACACAGGAGCTGCCAATTTAACTCTGTTTCTCTCTTCACAGATGCTGCCAGACCTGCTGAGTTTCTACAACTTTTTCTGTCTTATGTCCTTGTGAAGTTCTACGCTGCCTCTTCACAGCTCATAATGCTTGCAAGTTTTGTATTATCCCAAAATGTTGACATGGTCCCCTATATACAATGGTCTAGTTTGCTGATGTATATCAGGAAAAGTAAGGAAGCAACTTAATGGTTACCTTTTCAACAGCACCTTGTTGTCTCTGCTCTAAAATAATGCCCAAGACCCTTTGTTTTAATACAGAATATAGAAAAGTACAGCACAGGAACAGGCCCTTTGGCCCACTATGTCTGTGCCAACCATGATGCCATTCTAAACTAATCGCATCTGCCTGCACATGGTCCGTATCTCTCTATTCTCTGCCTATCCATGTGTCTGTCTAAATGCCAATAATATATTAAAACGACTGGAGACCCATCCACAAGGAACTTTTGGTGGAAACTCAAGTTATTTTAGTTTCATAGTCAAATTATGTCCATTGATGCACAAGAACTGCTCACTGAAATCACTTGAACATTTGTACTTGGTTTATGCAGGCAAATTAATTTGTGACATTAACAAAGTTTAAATATTGCACCAAAAGTGTATAATTGAATGTCTTGTTGACAGGTTGTGGGGATGGGGTTTGGACATTAACCCCTAAATATGAGCAGCTTAGGGTTGGGTGGAAGCTTGGCATGTTAAAAATCTGAATCCGAATGCCCACGTTGAATGTTGGCTGTGCAACCAACACACTCTCAACAGGATATTTTAAAAATATAATGAGGTTATGGAATCCATTGTCATTTTAAAGGAAACCATTGTCACAAGTTTTCAGGGCCCAAAAAATCTAGAAGCTGAAAAGGGAGGCAAAGGTTACTGGATCCTGAAGCTAAGTACTGGTTTCCTTATCTTTTAGATCAACATTACTTGTTTCACTAACTCGCCCGTGATCAAACGCATACTTCCGTCCACTGACACTTCTGATCTCATCCATGAGGCCTCTGATCCTTCTGTTCTCCCCCCATCCTGGTCAATCCTCCCACTGATCCCATGCTCCAGCCATTCCGATCTTCCAAGCTCCAGATTTCTATCTCCCGTTGAGTCCCCGTACCTCCCTGCCCCTCGGCTGCAACTTGGTTCTGAAAGACTTATCTGCCTGACAGCTGCTGAACTGGGCCAGCTGCAGCTGGGAAACCAAGGGGGATAAAATGGTACTGCGATATTTTCGCTAAATTTGGCAGATCCTGCGGAAAACCTGTTACTTTCAGGGTTTCCTGACTTCAGTCAGCCTCTGTGCACTCCCTCCAAGTGCTTAGTGTCAAAGCCTATAGATGGAGGATGGGCACTTGAACAGTTGTAGCCTAGCTGGTATCCGTGGAGACAATTCTTCAGAGAGCTGTGAGAGTATTCTTGTTACAAAGCGTACGTTATGCATTGTCTTCCCACCTTTATTAATTGGAAATGTGAAGTAGTATGCTGCAGTAGCATCTGTGATCAATGATTTTGTTTGCCACGTAATGCCTCAATATGTACTGAGGCAAGAGTACCATCTAACTGCTGCAAAATATCTTAGCTGCAGCTTCAGGGCTTCAAATAGTTGACCCGTTCACATTAATAAAAGGCCGCTTTAAACTCTGATGGGAGATTCAAAAGGATGAGAGCAGCTGTCGCTGTCTGGCTTTATTTCTGAATTTGCAGGATTGCAGTCAGCCTCACATCCTAACTGCCTGATGGTCATTTTTCTTCTCTGACATTTGCCCGAAAGGATAAAAGCCAATAGCAGTTGCTCCACAAGAGTTATTGCTGTCAGTGCTGCAAATGTTTCCATTTTACCAGAAGTTTCGCATTAATGGTTTCACTAACTTTATCAATCAACACCCATTTATTTCCTCAAGAAGAGTTGAGCTATCTCCAGAGCCATTGCTCCCAAGATTGTCTATGGTTGTACTATTTAAGAACTCTTTCTGCCTGTGGCCTTAAAACCACCTCTCTTTGTAGAGATAGGGGAGATAGTCCAAATATGTTCCCTTGGCATCTTTCCCTGTGTTGGCAGGAGCTTAACATGTCTGCATTAGGAAGACTGAACTATGTTTCTTTTTCTAAACTTCTTCCCAAAAAGACTTTTTTATTCATTCACAGGATGTGTGCGTTGATGGCTAGGCCAGCATTTATTGCCCATCCCTGATTGCCCAGAGGGCAGTTAAGAGTCAACCATGTTGCTGTGGGTCTGGAGTCACATGTCGGCCAGACTGTGTAAGGACGGCAGTTTCCTTCCCTAAAGGAATTCATAAGCAGGATAGGTTTCTCTGACAGTTGTTAATGGTCATCATTAGAATCTTAAAGCTAGAGTTTCGTTAAATTCAAATTCCACTATCTGCCATGGTGGTATTTAAATCCAGGTCTCCAAAACATTACCTGGGTCTCTGGATTAATAGCCCCATCGCCTACCCCATTGCGATGTGTGGCCAATTTATAGGAAAGGAGATATCTGGAGACTGTTAACACTTCCAAAACCTGCATAAAAATAGATGCTTGAACCAGAATAATTCCAAATCTGTTTATTACTTTCACCAGTTTATGAAAAGGAATTCCACTATGTAAGTGATTGAGGGAAGTTGGCCCCTGTTCTCAGAAGGCAAGCTCAGTGTGTTCATATTCCAAATGACTTTATCTGTCCTTTTCACCAGACTTTGGCTTATGGCGATATGAACCATGAGTGGATTGGTAATGAATGGCTTCCCAGCCTTGGGTTACCCCAGTATCGCAGCTATTTCATGGAGTGCCTGGTAGATGCACGAATGCTTGACCACCTCACCAAGAAAGACCTGCGGATGCATCTGAAAATGGTTGACAGCTTTCATCGGTGAGTTATTGCATTTTTGAAGGCTGAGTACAAAGTCATTTGTGAGAGGGAGACAGTCAGTCAAGTCAACCCACAAAATTATAGTCACTCAGTGAGCTAAAATGTGCAAAAGCAGAGAAATTTACTGAAAAGGATTATGTATTTTTTTCAAAATCTACATCAGTTGCCCTCTTCTGCATAATAACAGGTACATATATTTCCTCCCCAATCGATCCACCTTGTAGTTTTCCAGTACTACAGTATGACAAGTACCAGCTTGCAATCAGTCAATGCTAAGGGTGATATGGAGCCTGCAGGTCTGAGTTATAATTCAGGTTCTGGATTGTTCTAGAGTCAAGTAAAATCAAGCTTTTCATGCATCAACTAATTACATATTTACTTTAAATAAAAAGAGAATCAAAAGACTGTTATGAAAATTGGTAGCAAATTGGGACTTTTTTTAAAATTACTTTGTTATTATGATTAAAGCCCCTCTGAGTTTTAGTGATAATGAATTCATTCCTGTACATTCCCTAATTACAGTCAGGGCGGCACGGTGGCTCAGTGGTTAGCACTGCTACCTCACAGCGCCAGGGACCTGGGTTTGATTCCAGCCTCGGGCGACTGTCCGTGTGGAGTTTGCACATTCTCCCCGTGTCTGTGTGGGTTTCCTCTGGGTGCTCCGGTTTCCATCCACAGCCCAAAGATGTGCTGGTTAGGTGGATTGGCCATGCTAAATTGCCCATAGTATTTGTATAGGCTGGGTGGATTAGACATGGGAAATGCAGGGTTACAGTGAAAGGAAGGTCGGTCTGTCTGGGCAGCTCTTCGGAGGGTTGGAGTGGACTTGATGGGCCGAATGGCCTGCTTTCACACTGTAGGAGTTCTGTGATTCTACGATTGATTCTACAGTCAACAGAGTAAAGTTAAATATAGTCTGGACTGTGAAAAAACAAATGATCCAGTAGCCTCTGTAATCTGGTGTTGTATGACACAGTCAATACGAACATAGAAAACATGTCAGTCTCAGTAGGACATATTCATTAATTAGCAAAGTCCATATAGGGCAGAGTGGAATTTTAAGGCACATTATTGCCTGGGTTACAGTTCCTTTATTTAATTTACCTTCCTTTTAAAAATGCTTCTGCACAATTGTCCAGCAATCGTTATTATATTTTACAAATTGAGAAAAAATTTTGTTCTCACTTTTAGCTGCTGTCTTCTAACCCATTTTAATTTAAATGACTTTGTTTCTGACTAATCATCACTTCTTTTGATCCACTCTGTTACAATTGTAGCACACAGTAACAGCAGGTTGCCAGAGCTTGGAATTTAATTTGCCTTTTGTGTCACTTTGCATTTGCAAACTGTATCCTGCCTTTACATCAGCAGTTTGGCTAAAGAGACTGTATCCAATCTAATGTTGGAAATTCATTATATAAATAGTCAGGGGTATGTTAGAATTTCATGAAAAGCATTTTATTTAAAAAGTATTGAATTGTGCATTTTGATACCTAAAGTCTGTGTAGTTCAGTATGAAAGAACTTGCATATTTAGGGCGTGACCTCATGCTGGCCTGAAGCAATTACAGTCAAAGAAGGCATTTAAGATGTGGTTATTGTTGTGGTGAAATGTGACATGCAACTTGAACGCCATAACCACATAACAACAATAAGATTATTTACAAAGTAATCAATTTTAGTAGTGTTTGAGAACTAAACACTGGTCAGAGTAACAGGAGAACTCAGTTGTTCTTTAGTTTGCATCTGAAAGAGCAAATGGGCTTAATTTTAACACCTTGTTCAACAGACATAATCTTGAACAGGGCAACACTGTGTTCGACTGTTGACCTAGATTGCATGGTCAAGCCAGCCTTGAACGCACAACCTTCTGGCTCAAAGGTGAAAATGCCACTCGAACCAAGGATAATACGTGATGAAAACTCTGGAGGCTTTTCATAAATTACACTGAATAACATCTGTCTTGTTTCCAGCACTTGTTTACATTACGGCATCATGTGTTTGAAGAGATTGAACTATGACAGGAAGGAACTAGAGAGGAGGCGAGAAGAAAGCCAGCATGAAATTAAAGGTTAGTTTGAAAGAAATGTTGCTGTTAGTTTCTTGATTAAAATACAAAAATTGAACTTTAAATCCTAGTACCTTGTTGTCTCGGATTCTCCAGCATCTGCAGTTCCTACTATCTCAGATTTATTTTTACTGTTGTTTCCATAGATGTGTGTAGCTGTAATTCTGGATTCTTTCCTTCACCATTCTATATTATGACCAGGACAAGCCCAACTTTAACATGACGATTCATATTGTTCCAACTGCAAAGTAGTCAGGGTGCTGCCCAATGCTTGGTCAGCAGCTTTTACACATGAGGCCCCGATGGGTCCAATAGTGTTCCTGTTTTATCTTTGAGAAAGAGATGCTCAGGACAGGATCCTAACTGGTGAAAATCAAACTCTATTATTCTGGCTGGGGGAATGATTTCAGATTTGCACTGGCCTATCTAAGAATCTCACTAAAGTGAATCAGTCTTGGGCCTCGTGTCACTTTATTCCTTTCTCGCTTCCCCTTCCGTCCCTGACAGTGTTTAAAAGCCAGCGACATTGATTTGAAAGGGTTTCTAATGTGGAGACATTTCCCTTCAAGTTGAAACATTTTAATTGCTATGAAGGGAGCTGAACCACAAAGTTAATAGTTAGTTGGTCAAAATATTTTATTAATCATAAAGGTTTAATCAATTTTAAGTTCAATCAGTGGGACCCAGCATTATGTTTACAGTTTTTGAAGTGTTTTTGCAATTATCACCAAGTGCAATGTGATAACTGCTGTCATATACATACATTATCCCTGAATATGGGGATAATATATATGACAATTGAAATCTGCTCTCTGAAGTCATAATGTTACATTGTACAAGTGTAATTGTTGCTCATTTGGCAGCACAAACCAGCTGACCAGCCAAATGAGCAGCAATGAGCATGGGTTCAATTCCCACACTGGGCTGAGGTTACCATGAAGGAATCTCCTTCTCAACCTCTCCCCTCGTCCGAGTGTGGTGACCCTCAGGTTAAACGACCACCAGTCATCTTTCTGTGTAATGAGTGAGCAGCCCTATGGTGCAGTAGACTATGGTGATTCTGCTTTCTTTTGTTGCTGCTACAATCAGTACAATTCCATCAATTTTGCAGCAGATCCCCTGAAAGTTAACTACTTTGGGTGGAATGTAGTAAATCTATAGAACTCGGGATATGAGTGGATAGGATTATCATGAATGGTCTGGTAATCGTCTTAACTAGGATTAACAGATGATTAACAGAGGATTGTGAGTATGACTGCACTCCTTTCTTCTTATGGAGCATAACCTGGAATGAAATAAAAACATTAGCTTTACTAAAGCTCCAATATTCTTGCAGCATTAATGACCTTGCATTTTAATCAGCTGTTTGTTATTGGTCAGTATAGCAGTGCACTGGGTTGAGCAGCATGTACACTGTTACCAAATACCGGTGGGTTGATCAAAGTGATTATTTGTAGTATTTAATCGCTTTAGCTGCACTTGAGATCAATACAAATACGGGGGCTATAAAATAACCCTGATGTATTGGGAAAAAAAGCTAGTCTTAATCCTATCTCACATAGTAATCTGCAATTTAGTGAGGAATTTTATTGCTCTGGAATCTGAACCATTTTATGCTTTATTAGCTTAGATGTAAGTTATTACTGTAAGGTGAACTGTTAGATAGAAATACCCACAGCAAGCTTTGATGATTACTCAGAATGCTGAGTCACCCATCATAAGTGGAGATTCAGCTTTCCTGGCCATGCATGAAGGTCTGAATTGATGATTCTCAATGGGGAGGAAAATAGCTTATTAAAAAAACAAATCTTGAGAGCAGACTTTTTATTGAAATATATGTGAAAAAGATTGGCGCTGCCTGTGAGCTCCTTCTTTCTGTTTCAGTAATGCATGAACTTAACCTGTTACATAACTAAAGCCTATTTGTGGAATCCCAATGCAATTTGAGATATTAGTTTTCTGAACTATGGTGTCCTGTCTCCTCATCTGACTTTTACTGTTCTCCCACTGAACCACAGCTTCTGAAGAATGGATTGCATTTGTGAATTACTCAGAACAGTCTTCAGAACTGCCACTGTTACGCAGACAGCTCTGGCATGCTAAATATGTAGTTGCAGAAGAAGCCTGAACATGTTCCAGAATGGAAGTAATTTTAAAACCTGACATTTCTTGACTGTGATACAATGTTTGATCTGTGCCTAGATGTGTTGGTGTGGACTAACGACCAAGTCATTCACTGGGTGCAGTCTATTGGACTACGGGAATATGCCAACAACATCGTCGAAAGTGGGGTGCATGGTGCCTTGGTAGCCCTGGACGAAAATTTTGATTACAACAGTCTAGCTTTATTGTTACAAATACCCACACAAAATACACAAGTAAGCTCCATAATCAATGCTTTTGTTTCCTCCATCAGTTTGATTTCTAAATGTTTAGAAAAACTGCTAAAGTTAAAAATAGATTTTAACTATGATTTCTTTTACAGGCAAGGCAGGTCTTGGAGCGTGAATTCAACAACCTGTTGGCTTTAGGAACTGAGCGGAAGTTGGATGATGTGAGTATTAGGGATCCGTTTGTACTTTTAGTGAGGGAAATGTAGATAACATCCTGACCGTGTTTAGTTGTTTTAAGTGCTTAGTGTGCATGTGCCAGAGGCTGGATTCAGGGAACATGGAGAATCATTCATCAAATTAGAATGGCTGGGGCTGAATGCCACGTTGCATGTCCTTCCTTGTCTTCCTCAATGACTCTGTAACATTTGATACAGTCAACTGTACCATCTTCTCCTGTTGACTTGTGCTTCTTGGCACTGTTTTTGATGGATTCCACTGACTAGCATTTCTCCATCAATGACTTATCAATTCCACTGCCACCCTCAGTACTGAAACCGTTCTGATTGGCTCCCAGCATAACTCAAGTCATCATTCCAAGCTACATCTCCCTCAAAGCTATTCACTCAGACTGGGCCCAGTTCTATAAATCCCATCACCCAGGCCATTCATTAACTCCTCCACAACATCACTCACTGACATCCTTTCTTCATCCCCATCTTTGTCAACTTCCAAACAATCGAACCTATCAAATGGCATTCTGCTGCGACAGTTTCACAATGACTAATGACCCGTGCTTTCAATTGTACTGAATTAATTTGAATAAAAAGGATAAATTTAAATGGAGATAGGAAAATATGAAAGACTGGGACCAAATCAATTATGCTTCATATCGCTGGTGGAACTACTGACGACCTGTTTCTGTGCTGTATAATTCTGTTGTCCCTCTTCATTTTCTGATGTTTTCTTAGCTTTGGGCTTGACCTACTTTACTTAGCATCCTTCTCTAACAAACATCTTCCAGTTTTCTCTGAATCTGACTCACTGTGCTTCAAATTATTGTACTCTTCTCTGAGAACCCCTCTGGCTTATTGTCTCTTCTAATCCTGAAGTGTATTTTGAAAATCTTTCTCTTCACCCATACTTTTGATCACTTAAGAGTCATAGCGTTTATCAGCATGGAAACAGACCCTTTGTTCCAGCTCGTCCAAGCTGACCAGGTTTCCTAAATTAATTTAATCCCATTTGCCAGCATTTGGCCCATATCTTTTCCTATTCATATACCCACCCAGATACCTTTTAAATGTTGTAATTGTACCAGCCTCCACCACTTCCTCTGGCAGCTCATTCCATATACACACCACCCTTTGTGTGAAAAAGTTCCCGCTTTAAAATCTTTCCCCTCTCACGTGAAACCTATGCCCATTAGTTTTGCACTCCCGTACCCTGGAAAAAGACCTTGTCTATTTACCCTGTGCATGTCTGTCATGATTTTATAAACCCCCATAAGTTCGCCTTTCAGCCTCCCTCGCTCCAGGGAATATAGCCCCAGTCTATTCAGCCTGTTCCTATAGCTCAAACCCCCCAACTTATTCAACATTCTTATAAACATTTTCTGAACTCTTAAGTTGCACAACGTCCTTCGTATAGCAGGGAGACCAGAACTGCACACAGTATTCCAATAGTGGCTTAAACAGTCACAACATGACCTCCCAACTCCTGTACTCAATGCATTGACCAATAAAGGTGAGCATGGGGCAGCACGGTGACTCAGTGGTTAGCACTGCTGCCTCACAGCGCCAGGGACCTGGGTTCGATTCCACCCTCGGGCAACTATCTATGTGGAGTTTGCACGTTCTCCCTGTGTCTGCGTGGGTTTCTTCCGGGTGCTCCAATTTCCTCCCACAGACCAAAGCTGTGCAGGTTAGGTGGATTGGCCATGCTAAATTACCCGTAGTGTTCAGAGATGTGTAGCTTAGGTGGGTTATAAGGGGATGGGTCTGGGTGGGATGCTGCAAGGGTTGGTGTGGGCTTGTTGGGCTGAAGAGCCTATTTCCACACTGTTGGGATTCTATACCAAATGCCTTCTTCACTATCCTACCTATCTGTGACTCCACTTCCAAGGAACCATGAACCTGCGCTCCAAGGTCTCTTTGCTCAGCAACACTTCTAGGATCTTACCATTAAATGTGTAATTCCTACCCTGATTTGCCCATCCAAAATGCAGCACCTCACATTTATCCAAATTAAACTCTAGGTGCCACTCCTTGGCCCATTGGCCCATCTGATCAAGGTACCGTTGTACCCTGAGGTAATCTCCTTCACTGTCCACTACACCTCCAATTTTGGAATCATCTGCAAGTTTACTAACCATACCTCCAATGTTCATATCCAAATCATTAATATATATGATGAAAAGCAGTGGACCCAGCACTGGTCCTTGTGGCACACTGCCGGTCATAGGCCTACAGTTTGAAAAGCAGCCGTCCACCACCACCCCTTGTCTTCTACCTTCAAGCCAGTTCTGTATCCAAATAGCTAGTTTCCCTGTATTTCATGTGATCTAACCTTGCTAACCAGTTTAATATGAGGAGCCTTGTCGAACACCTTACTGAAGTCATTACAGATCACTTCCACCGCTCTACCTTCAATCCTTTTTGTTACTTCTTCAAAAAACTGAATCAAGTTAGTGACACAGGATTTCCCATGCACAAAGCCATGTTGACCATCCCTAATCAGTCCTTGTCTTTCCAAATACATGTAAATCCTGTTTCTCAGGATTCCCTCCAACAACATGCCCACCACCGATGTCAGGCTCACCAGTCTATAGTTCCATGGCTTTTCCTTACTACATTTCTTAAATAGTGACACCACATTAGCCAACCTCCAGTCTTCCAGCACCTCACCTGTGACTATTGATGATACAAATATCTCAGCAAGGAGCCCAGCAATCACTTTCCCAGCTTCACACAGAGTTCTAGGGTACATCTGATCAGATCCCGGGGATTTATCCACCTTTATGGGTTTTAAGACGTCCAGCACCAACACCTCTGTAATATGGACACTTTTCAAGATGTCACTATTTAGTTCCCCATGTTCTCTATCTTTCATATCCTTCTCCACAGTAAATACTGATGCAAAATACATATTTGTCTGGGATTGTCTCAGTCTTGTTCAGAGTTTACTAAATTACTAAATAAAAACCAAAAAACTGGATGCTGTAAATCAGGAACAAAAACAAAGTTGCTGTAGAAGCTCAGCAGGTCTGGCAGCATCAGTGAAGGAGAAAACAGAGTTAACATTTCGGGTCCGGTGACCCTTCCTCAGAGCTGATGGTCGCTGGGAAAACGTCAGTTTAAATGCAGAAAATAAGGAGGTGGGTGGGGTAGAAGTAAACAATAGGATAGAGTCCAAAGAGAGAGAAAGGCAGTTGGACAGACAAAGGATTTGCTAACGATCAGGCTGGGAGGGTGAATAGTTGTTAATGGGTACTGTTAGTGACTAACAACAGGGGGTGTGTAATGGCAGGCTATGTGGTAACAAGGCCTGGTGTGTGGGGTAGGGGGCTGGGACATGGGAGAGTTTAGGCCCTAAAATTATTGAACTCAATATTGAGACCATAGGGCTTGCGTTGGGCTTCGCTGGGACACTGTAGCAAGCCAGAGACAGAGA